GTCAACTAAGTGATCTTCCAAATTCAATGGCAAGTTTGGAGTACCCGCCAATCTGTTTCATTGGCAAAGTTTGATAGAGGAGGCTTTCAAGGTCAATAATTTGACAGACGACGCAGAACACCTCAAACTACTTGGATCCCTTTTAAATGACAAAGCTATGGCAGTGTGGTATCAGTCTAACAAGGATGAATTACATCAGGGATCGTGGAAGAATGCAATGGATACTATGGCAATGGGCATGTTACCTCACGCGTGGCTCACAGACACTGAGGAAGCTTTCAGACGACTCAAGATGAAGCCTCAAGAATCGTTCAACGTGTATGTCACACGTGCGCAGGGTTTGCATCGGCTCATCAAGCGGCTGGGTCATGTCACGGACCGTCATCTCGCACAACATATCACCTGGGGCGGCCCACAACTATTTAGGGACATGGTCAATCATGACAAGCTTCTTCTGGCCGAACCTTTTGTCTTCCCAATCTTCAAGGACTCTGCGGATGGAATATGGCGATTTTTGATTCATAGCAAACTGCTTTTGGACCCAACTGCTAAACCCAAGGCTCGCAGCTTAAGCACGGGAACAATATTCAATGGTGCTTGTCCGAAAAATCCTCCTCAAGCACGAACGGACGAGGAACAAGCTGAGAATGGCTGGCGTTACCACGAGTACCTTTGAAGGAACAGGATCTGTCCAATTTGCAAAGAAAAATGTAACGATCCACGATGTAACAAAAGATTGAATCAATTCTTATCGGTTCCTGCAAACTTCAATGCTGGACCTCGCCCTCCACGCAGCATGCCGGCCGCAAGAGCCAACCCACCAGGAGCGCCCACGCAACGTCCAGCAGGTCGTCCACCAGTTACCAGCCCCACCAATCGCATAGCAGCAGTGGACACCTTTCCAGACATGTTAGTGGAGGATATAGCAGCATATGAAGAGGCGGACAATGAGTTACAACGTCAAATTGAGGCCGAGGTTGGAATGGAGAATCAGTGTGTACCCCAAGTTACGGCAGCACCTATCATCCTGGAGCTGACCTTGAATGGCAAACCACTGTGTGCTTTAATTGATTCGGGTGCAGGGACCAATCTGGTAGCGGAGAAGGTAGCCAATGATCTGCATATCCCTAGACAACCACTGGTCTCCCCGGTTGAGGTACGCTTGGCTATTGCTACAGAGGGCAAGCCAATAGTGCTGACAGAATTTGCCTTTTCCAATTTGAAAAGTGAAGACCCGAGCCTACGATTTGGAGCTGTTTTTTCCAAGTTAGCACTGTTGGGGTCAACATATGATATGATTCTGGGTTCCCTCTTCTTGGCAAAGCTCAAATTAGATGTATCACTCCATTGGCATTGTGCAGTCCACACCTCAAGCGGGAAAGTGTTATATGAGAAGGAAATGAAAAATGAAATTCAAAGAGTATTGTGCGCAATTGAGAACTTAGCAAAACTGAGTGATGTTCGAGAGTTGAGCAAGAGAGAAGACAAAGTGTTTAAGGAGTTTGAGGACTTGTTCCCAGCGGAGCTGCCACCAGTAGAGGAGGGTGAAGCAGTTGCTGAGATTTTCCCAGAAGGCATGCTGGACCCATTGCGACAGGTGCGGCACAAAATTGTGCTTACTGACCCAAACATAGTCATTAACAAAAAACGGTACGGGTATCCTATACGACACCGCGACGCCTGGAAAAAACTGTTGGATCAACACATCAAAGCTGGACGACTGAGACAATCTGACAGCCAATATGTGTCCCCTTCAATGATCATACCGAAGAAAGACCCATCCGAATTAACACAATGGGTTTGTGATTACAGGAAACTGAACAAATTCACGGTGAAGGATAGGGCGCCATTACCCAATGTAGACGAGCCGGTACGGTTAGTAGCAACGGGGAGGGTCTGGTCAATTGTTGATCAGATCAGCTCTTTCTCTCAGGATTGGATGCGGGAAGAAGACATCCCTCTAACAGCGGTGAAGAGGCCATGGGGACTGCACAAATGGGTAGTGATGCCTATGGGGTTGACGAATGGCCCTGCAACTCACCAGGCACGTAATGAGGAAATCTTAGGTGAATTGGTGGGAAGAATTTGCGTGGTTTATATTGACGACATTGTCATTTTTTCTCAATCTGTGGAA